TAACAGACCCAATATTTCACTTCGTCTTATCTGCCAGCTGCGAATATGTGAGAGCAGCGTTTGCATAATGCTACAGGCAAATTGTAATTTTTTTGTGCATACGTCAGGTACCCAACCTGTTTTGGTAGCAACGACATAGTTGTTGAGCGGCGAAGTCGAGTGACGAAGCGCCATGACTAAAATTTGGGATTAATTGAGCGTTTGAAAACAAACCAAGCTGAAGGCCGCTATTTACTGGAAGGCGTTCACACCTTATCAATTATGGAGACACTTGTAATAATAGACACAATATTTTCTCACACATCAGCTTAAATTTTGCAGAAATTGATACGGCCTGAAATACACAACTAGCGTTAGTAACAGACACACGGACAGACCGACACATACGTAGAAAGATAAGGACGACTAAATTTCTTCGGCATTCATCTTGCGCAAGTCAAAGCCCTTCGGTCGCGCAATAATATTGTCGCAAAAATCGAGACGCAAGCTATAAATCTCACTACTGACCGCTAATCATAGTCACGAATGGCCATCTGGACTTGTCGATAGCATGTACCTTTAGCGCTAAGTCCTTAGGATAGCATGAAGTAGTATACGAGCTCTTTTGTAAGGCCAGATATTGCGCTCAGCGACGTGCCGGTATCTTGTAGGTGGATGAAGAAGTGCGATACTTGTCCGTATTTCAGGCTGCACTTTCCTTCGTGCCTCACACCTCAAAATCTTGCCTATTGCTTCCCTTTTGGATTGCACGTCGAGCTGCCTCCAATGGTTCATGCAGCAGAGAGAATCCTCCTCCGTTTCTCGGGACCTAAGACAAGGGACATCCCGTCCAGGGTAAGGGTACGTGTAAATTAGCTAATTCAACGTCCTGTTCACTTGGCGACCGTTTTTCGAGATCTAAATAGAGCAGCGTTCACTCTTATTCTCTACCACTCCACATCAAAAAGCGTGTACTCACGAGTTTAATATTTGTCCCTACGATTACTGTGGCTACTTTAATGAACCACAGCAAGATTTTTTTTAATCCATTTCTTTAAAAAAGCCACGTGCTTATTTTTAAAAAGCTTTAATTTCGTTTGAAGCAGTACAGGGTAATAGTAGAAAATCATGTTTTAATTATGCAATCTTGGCTGATAACTTGAGTGTTGGTGGAGACATACCGATGGATGAGTCGCTGGAGAAGCTACATTTGAGCTACTGTTAATCCTGAGGTTATATTGATAGCGAATAAGCAGGCAAACATTGAAGCTTGACCTAAAATAAAAAAAACGTATGACCCAACATTTTTCGTTGTATCTGTAGTATTTATATAATAATAGCAAATTTCACCTGATAGACATGGTTGTATAAGCGAGGGGCGTTATCTTTTATTGCTATATGAATTACCCACAAGAAGTTTTCTGACGCCTCCGACAAGACAACTCGGGTCTATCATGGCACATGCACATAACGTATTTTATCATATACTTGCCAAGTGATAAACAGAAACTTTCAAAAGCGCAATATGCATTGAGCACAGATTAAATGACTCAAATTGCAAAAATGTTGGGGTTACACGTCCGTCCTTCTTATCGCTATTGTTTATTTCAGACGTGACGATTGCTGTATTCCGTCAACTTTTTCAATGAGATTAATTTATGATTCGGTAAGTATGTACCTTATAGGTGACGAGGTAATATGATGAAGGTAAAATTGCGCTTAGTACATCGATACTAGACTCGGACTTTGTATCTACGCATAAAATTTCGAAATTTAGGTTTAATGCACTCAGTTGTATGCCTTACTTTCGACCATTTTTGTACCAAGTGGAATTTGTTTCATTTTTTAATTTACGTATGAAGTTCAGTCAAAAAATAGCAATTGAACGATGCAAATACCACAAGGTAGTTAGTTGTTCCTCGATCCATACGATCTTTCTCTTTCAAGCTCACTTAAGCTCATTACAAGCTAAGATGACCCACGAGTTTAAATACAGATGTATTCAACGATTTAGCTGTGTCGGTCGCGGCATTTATTTTTGCGAATAAGAATCCATTAAAGAGAAAGATACACTCTTTTTTTTCTTTATGTATGCTTCATCACTGTTAATATCACTAGCAGTCTATCATGCACCTTATTTGTAAAGACTGACGTTTTATTTGATTGAAAAGGGTGCCGCTAAAATGATAGACACAATGACTTCCAACACTAATATTTTTTACATCGATGTGCAGAGTAGCATCCATCACATTCCAATGGATTCTATCGTAATTGACAAAAACAAAGACAAGTAACATCAAGCTTGCTCGCGCTGGAAAGATTCTCTGACCATAGGCTGGCGAGCAAGATTTCAAGCATCAACATGTGAGGTGAACATAGAAGAGAGACTTGATACAAAAAGGTGTTGATTCATGATCAGAAGCGATGCGGAGATTACGCGTGACTAGAACATCAGTAGACTGGGTGCTGCAACTTTAGAGGTAGTTGCACTCTTGTGCTGTGCTTGAGTGATAAAAGGTCCGTGGCTGATTGCAGGACAATCCATTTGATGAGCCTCAACAGTCCTTAAATAAAAAATTGGTAATGAGAATGAACGAGCACGTTCGTATTATGAGCCAGCCTCCTGTCTAATGCAGGAGCATAAAGAAAGAGAATCAACAGATGACAGAACAAAGCGGCATAGCACAGGGAAATAAACAGATTGTCATATTACGTAGAAGAATTGGATGCTTAAGTTCCCAAACTCGCTCGCATGTTCCAATAAGTTGGTACCTTAACTCGATTGTCCGCTAGCCTATCGCGTTCAGAGCGATAAATTTGTCTTTCCTGCACCCTGAGTGGACTGAACGCCTAGTGTTTTTGGATAACGCTTTGTCAGGGTCACAAGTATGCTGTGGAGCCGCTTTACGTGTTTAAGCTGTTGCGATGCTGCGACTTTGACTATTGATTGAGCTGCTATGTATTTTTTGCTGTTTTTATTTAATTTTGCTACTGTCGCTGCTGTTATAGTGCAAGAAATATTAGGTCGATTGGCAAAGCGTGAGTGACGTACGTGCTTAAAGCTAACTCACACCTTGTCATCTTTCTGTAAAAAACCTACTATTATAGAACGTAGAAAACATGTTTGAATTTTAAGTAGGCAATCCAGTCGTTAGTGTACCTCCCTTTCGATAGTCCCGTATTTAAATGCAATACAAGCTGAGTTTATTTGGAAATCGCTAACTTTACACCCATTTTCCTCAGATTCACACCCTTCCTTTAAAATATTACATAACATGTCTATTCATTTAAAGGTTTGTTTTCTGACAAAGGTTTTACTCGATGTCTAGGCCATTAATTGGCAAGTAATACGTAAAAATTACCTAAGATACTACTCACGCCTGTGGTCTAGCTTTCCAGCGTTTACTGATAGGGCACCACACACTAATATGCTTTCTCCTCCCGAGGTTGAGTATGTCAGTCGGGAGCAACTTATGAATACTGTGCAGACGTTCGCACGTGGCCAAGGCTATGCTGTTACGATTAAAATTTCGATTGCAGGAAATCGTGTCTACCATAAATGTGATCGAGGTGCCGTAAACGTACCAAGGGTTGGAAAAGAGCGCCAACGCAAGACCAGCTCACGCCGAATTGGTTGCCCGTTCCTTTAAGTTGGAATTTCTCATAAAAGGGGTAACTGGAAGTTAAAAGTGATGAATGGGTGACACAATCACGAGCCGTCATTCCATCCGTCTGGTCATTCAACTCATAGAAAGCTGAATAGCGAGCATGCCTATACTGTCAGAAATATGGCATTGGCTGGTGTTAAACCGTTAGGGATTCTTTCATCCCTTCTTATGGAGAATGCAAATGCTTTGTCTAATTATCAGCTATTACCTCTGTGGTAGAATAATACTAAGTGTCCTTGTGATTTTCTAACCCATACTGGTTTCGGAATGTAGGATTTACGACACAATGGAATTTCAAAGCTTTAGATTGAATAAATATGCATATCATTATAAACATTCGGGACATTCGGGAGCGCAACGCATTGAAGTCGAAGTCACACAAAACAAAGATTTCTTTTTATGCTGCCGCGGATCTAGCGAAGTAGACGTATGCTCACATCGAGAAGGGTACAGGCGTCCGTGTTAAATTGATCGGAGGAAGGATCTTAAAGCAGATATGAGCCCTTGAGTGTGTTTTCACAACTGAACTAAGATTATACAAACTCGATGCACCTTGGCTGCTCCTGATAGTGCATCACTAACTACTCCCTACTACAAGAACGACCGACACTATCGTCACACGGGCCATGTCGCCTTCCAACTGTCAGTTTGGCCCCGTCGACGTTTACCCAATATTCCAACGGTCGTCTTGGCTCATACAATCAACTGTCGTCTTCAACATCCAACTTGCAACTCAAAGTTCAACACGCCCTCCTCGACGCGCAATAGCTTGCTCTGCGCAGTCGAATAGTACAGTGTCGCCGGTCAATGCTGAAGGCCATTCCTAGTGTCTGACTTGTCCGCATCCATATAGCCCAATGAATTGACTTAAGTGCTGAATCCGGTCTGCACTTGTCGCCTTCGTGAGAAGATCATTATCTTCGGTTTTGACCTTGTGAAGTTGGATCTTGTCTTTTAAAACTTGCTCGCGTACGTAGTGCCAACACAGTTCAATGTGGCGAGTACGTCGGCTGAACGTCGGGTCCAGCGCCAGCGTCATTGCGCTCGAGTTATCGACTCCAATGTCCACGTCAATGCTCTTGTGTGTCGTATACAACGTTTCCTCCACTATGTTGCAAAGCGAAGCTGTTTCCATAGCTGCCTCACATGCTGCGATCATATTCTGCTTCAGCCGTGCTTAGGGCGACGACACTGTGCAATCGAGAGAGCCATGACACCGCACCACCCGCAAGATTAAATACCACACCAGTCACACTGCTCCGCGTGTCGGGATCACCTCCTCAATCGCTGTCGCTGAATGCGTCAATGACGATTTGGCTTGCATTTCCGTGTTGTCGATGGTAATTTAAACCGTTATTCAAAGTGCTGGATCGATAGCGCAATACTCGCTTCACCGCTCCAACGGGATTTGCTCGGTTGATTTACGAACCGACTGAGCAAGCCGACTGCAAACGTTAAGTTTGGTCGAGTGAACGTAGCTAGGTACATTAGTGAACCAACTGCCTCTTGATAAGGAAATGACACCATCTCGTCACTTAACTTTCCGTCCTCATGCACGATTCGTGTGGTACAGTCCACTCCATTTCCTATTCCGCGTGCGTCCAGGAATACAAATTGCTCGAGCACTTCGCGTTTATACTGAGTTTGTCGTATAATGAAGCTCGCATCACTATGAATGATTTCAACACCAAGATACTGAAATGCGCGCCCGTGATCCTTGATTCCGTACTGCTCCTCCAGCAACTAAAATAGTTCGTTCTTTTGCTCGACTTCCTCTGTAGCTGCCAAGAGATCGTCAACGTAATTTAACGCCAGACACATTACTCCTTTCTGCCACCGTACGTATAAACACGGCTCTGTGTGTCCATGTTTGAACTCGTGCGCCTGATGAAAATTATCAATTTTGGAATTTTACTCTCGTCCAGCCTGCCGCTAGCCGTACAGTGCTTTTCTTGACTTTAAATGCCTTGTTGTTCTCACTGAAATGTCTTTGGATACGAATAACATACTGTGGAATTTGTAGGTTCGCATTAAGGTATGCTGTATTGACATCACAGCTGTAGATCTCCAATTCCAATGAGGCTGACAATGCCACAAATCAGCGAAATGACGCCATGTGAGCGACCGGTGCGAATGTTTTAATAAAATCACACCTTCGCGCTGTTTGTCACCGCGAGCAACTAATAGTGCTTTAAAGCGAATAACTTCTTCTTGCTCATTTGCTTTTACTGCATAAACACACATCGTCGTCAACATGTTTGTCGCAGGTGGCACGTCCTTTAGCGAAATTTCCTCGAGCACTCCGTTAGTCTTCAGTGGTTCGAGCTCCTGTAACTCTGCGTCACACCACTTGCGTGCATATTCAGATCGTAGTGCTTCCGCATGATTTTTCGGGATCTTTACATTACCTTTAATAGTTCTTTGTATCCGTCACTGCAGTCACTTATTGTTGCGTGAACGATGAAATTATTAAGACGCCTATTCTTTACCAGTGATACTTCCTGTGGACGACGGCTGTGCACGCTAGCGTTTCGTTGGCTCCACTTGAACTGCTAGTTCTGCCGCGCTACCAACATTTTTCGTGTCAATTTCTGCACCATACTCAACCGTGCCCTATTCGCCGTCAATTGAACTGGTGTGTGAGCTGGTATGGCTCATACCACCTTGTAAATCTTCCTCGACATGGGCACTTAGGCAAGTGTCATCTTCTTCCATCAAGTCGCCACTAGGTTCAGCCATGTTACCGACCCCACATTCTGATGCACCAGCCCCAAAGTCATCCACATTTCGATTAACAGAGTCAACTGCACCACGATAACCGACCAGCCGTATCCAAACACTGTCTTGTTCATCCGCTTCTTGTGCATTGGTTAAGCTGTCGTCGTCGTCAATAATTCTTTTCTCGACATTAAGTTCGGCATCTTCAAAAATGGTGTCCGTGGCTTCGGTTTCTGCAATATAATCGCCCTCTTCAATACTTGCATTTACATCGCTGTTGGCGTCCGAGAGTGTGGCCGTGGTGGTGTGGCGGTCGCGGTAAAGAACGTGCTCATTTACGCGAATGTCTGGTACAAATTTTTGCGTACGATCATCGGGAAAGTAGAGCTTGCAAATCAACACATCGTCCGCGTATCTCAGAACATATCCGGTCTTGGCGTGACGATTAAGCTTGCGAAGCCGTGCGTCGGCTATAACGTGAACATACGCCAAAGATTCAAACGTGCAAAGATGATGAATGTCTGGCCGCATGCCAAACATCTTTTCGTAAGGTGTGCTTTTACATCGTCGATTAAATGTCCGGTTCTTGATATAAACCGAGTATTGAAATGCATCAGTCCAAAAAATCCGAGGCATTTCTGAATGCTCCAACATTGCACGCGTCATCTCCATTAGCATGCTGTGCACACATTTGCAGGGTTGTTGCTGCGAGCTGGAAGGTCCAACCTGTACATGATCGATGCCCCGATCTTTCAGCCACAGTGTAACCTCGGTACTAGCAAATAATTCACCTTCATCCGTCAGACATTGGTGAACAGGATATACAATTTGCGCTCCGTCACTTTCTTCGGTTGCATGGCGACGAGCTTGTCGTTCAACCCAAGCAATGTATTGTTTCAGAGCTGCGGCTACTGCATTTGCTGCTTTTGTTCGCAGCATGTAAGGTGTAACGAACTTGCTGTAAGCATCCACGATCACCAAAACCGCACCATTTTGAGTGTCGCTATTTACGCCTGGCACCAACAAATCTGCAGATACAAGATGATTTGGCTTCACAATGCGTCGGTCAAGCTTCTTTTCAAGCGTCTTCCTTACTTGCCTTGCCAAGTGACACGTCCCGCAATCTCTTAATTCACGTCCGGATAGCATCATTCCGTCACCTAGCTTTCGGTCAACCATCAACTTGATGTACTGAGGGCAAATGTAGCCCAAACGCTTGTGCCATAATTGCAGATCTCTAACTCCGTCTCGAGTCGTAAAGTCTATCACGCGCGTTTCTAGATGTGGCTTGGTCTGTTTACCTGATGAAACTTGTCCCTCGAATACCCATAGTTCTCCGACTTTGTCGGCTAGTGCCACCGTTTCATCATTTTCCAGTATAGTAAATCGGTGCGCAATGGAGTCCAATTCAAATTTAAATCCATCGTCAAGTGCACGCCCCATTGACAACAGCGGATTTCTTGCGCCAGGAACTAGTAGTACGTCGTCAATAACCGTAAAAACTGTCTTTCCAGCAACAGACGTCTCAAGTAAGATCGTTCTAACTCCGACCGGTTGCTCCTGAAAGCTGGGTGCAACTCCACGCACGGTTGCTTCATCGCGAGAGAGCTCCCGATAGCGAATAAAGTACCGCTTGTCTCCTACCACATGTGTATTGGATGCAGTGTCAATATACCACTCCTGCATTCCAATATTATCGGCAAGTGGGTCATTGTCTTGTTGAGCTACGTCCACGTAATTTAATTCCAGGGTCCCTACATCTTGATCTTCTCCAAATACTTCAAACACGTCACAGTGCGTGAGGTTCGTTGCCTTGTTCCGTTTGCCTTCACGACGAACGACATCTTTTGCTGCGACCACATTTGCACCCTCGCCGTGTTTTTCACGATCTGGACAATCCCTCTTGAGGTGCTAACTACTACCGCACATGTAACACCTCTTCTTGTAGTCCCTCGCCTCGGAGGTTCCTTTGTAGCGATGTACAATTGCATTGGATCCTTTGCTGTCCATGATCTGTCGTGGGGTTTTGACGCGCTGACGCTTCACGTCTTTACGCTTCCCGCCCATTAGAGCACCAATACCTAAAACGCTTGTGGTCTCCGAATGGAGAGCGGCGGCTGTGCGAATAAGCTCGCGAATTTTCTCTGGAATGTATGCTGCTGATTCTCTTGCAAACCACACAGTCTGTCGCAGTTAGTTGAACTGCGTCGTTGTATGTAAACTTTCCAGCAAAGCTTTTCGCATATCGAGTTCATTGACGATATACTGGAGATCAGCTAATTCTGTGCGGAGGTTGAACATGCGCAACAGGTGCGTGTTTACGTTCCCATCTTCCTTCAGCTTTGGTTCCAAAGCTCATGAACTAGCTGCCGGACACGGTGTCCGCGAACAGTGGGGTCCGACTTGTCTTCATAGATAGCCACCAAGTCTATCCACAGTTCTGGTGCTGTCTTGTGTTCACGCACCTGATGCAACAGGTCACGTGACAAACTTGTGAAGATTAAGCGCTTTGCCCTGAGCTGGAGTTGATTATAAGCTTCTTGGCCTTCTGCCGACATAAACTTTGTCTTGTCGTACCGCTCATCTATCATATCACTCATATTCTGCTTCTCAAAGACATTTTGCATAACTAGCTTGTAAAATTGCCAAACACCCATCCCACTCGATCGGAATTCCTTTGCTCGTGTACTTTTGCTTTACCATTTCCTTCGTTGAATTTATTGTGTACTTTGGGCTCATGAACCTGTTAAATTGATCGAAGGAAGGACCTTAAAGCAGATATGAGCCCTTGAGTGTGTTTTCACAACTGAACTAAGATGATACAAACTCGATGCACCTTGGCTGCTCCTGATAGTGCATCACTAACTACTATCTACTACAAGAACGACCGACACTATCGTCACACGGGCCATGTCGCCTTCCAACTGTCAGTTTGGCCCTGTCGCCGTTTACCCAATATTCCAACGGTCGTCTTGGTTCATACAATCAACTGTCGTCTTCAACATCCAACTTTCAACTCAAAGTTCAACGGTGCAAACTAAAGAACATTGTACCCTTTCTCTCCTTGTCTGCCGGTGTGGAATGATGACTAGGATGGTCTGTGCCGTCATTTGAAGTGATGTAAAACTGACCTCAGGCGGACAGCGGTTTTTTTTAGAAACCTTCGGCTCTCAAAAAACCGCTGACCGCCCGAGGTCAGTTGTACCTCACTTCAAATAACGGTAAATCTTACCGAATAACCTGAGCTGACTGTATACACCAATTCGCTTTGAGGAAGGAAGCGTGCAAACTACACCACGCGTCAAACGAACGCATCTGTGAGCGCTGAAGGGTAGATGGACGCGATGTACGACGGAAGCAACGGATGCGTGCGACCTGGGACGACAATGAGAAGTGGGAAGTGGACGTCGACGAAGACGGAAATAAATCAGCTCTGACCAGAAGCAACGATGACGAATAAACAGTTATAAACTACCGAGAGTGGCAACGACAATTACAAGCGAGGAAGAAAAGAATGAAGACCAAGCGGCAAAAGAAATGTGAGAATAAGACGGTGGGGCTATCTGAGTGATTAATTGCTTCTGCACCGACCTTATCCTCTTTTCGTTCAGTGAAATATCCATGTCAATCTTACGCCGGCCACGTCGTTCCTACAAAAATAAACTAAGCACCGAGTACTGCTGATTTTCCTCTTAAACTTGCAATTTTGTTTGGACATCGTCTCTACCGCTCATTATGAGCAGGCAAGGCTAGCAAAGAGAGAACAGCGT